TCAGTTGTAGTTTTTAAACTTGTAAGTTGTCGTTTCGAAGCATTTTTCTTCTAGCTCATAACATGCGTCAAATATACAAAAGAGAAAGAACAGTCTTTCAAGATAATTTCTTGCTCAACCAAACAGGATGACATACAGGACCCTTCCAAGAAGCTCCGTGACATGGGAGTGACGATATTTTGTTTCGGAGTTGGTGCACAGTACAAGAAGGACCAGTTAGATGAAATGGCAACCGATCCAGACTCTAAACATGTTGTAACAGGCGGTTTTGATGATCTCGATCAAATACTCCCGAAAATTAAAAAGATGGCATGTGACGGTTAGTCTCTTAACCCCAGAAGTTCTACTTATTACGCACTGCTTCCATATCGATTCTAATTTGTCTACTTACTGCGCCTTTTGATAACATGCGAACTCACTTATTGGATTTCAAGGAGACTGAGCTGCGGTTTCTAGTTACCTACTGTGAGACAAATTGACTTAAGTTTATAAATGTGTTCTTCTGCAGGAGCAGGAGGATCTTTATCGCAAAGTCCTTCGAGAGGTAAATTTTTTAGTTTCTTCAAGTTAGAAATTTCACATGAAGTACTTCATGTAACAAACATCTTATGTACAGTATGTCCGTTACTTTTATTTAAACTATTTTATATCGCTTGCAATGTATTTTAAAAACTTTTTGCGTTACATTTCTTGCGTTTATGCTATATATTAAGCAGATACAGTATCACAATTAGATGTTATTACACGAACCATATTTATTACCTTTTAAATGACATTTTGAAGGATTTTAGTTCTTGATCATTCTTCATAATCCTAACAACCTCACGTTTTACAATATTAACAGAAAAAACTGCAATGTTCACATTTTACCTTATACTCCCACGAGATACAATTTTAATTTCAGGTTTAGCTCTATAAGTTTGAATCTGCATTTGTACAACTTAGTCTTGCTTTAAACACTTTACGTTGTGATTTCTCATCACAGTACAGTACTTACAGTACCCACGGTAAAATTCCTGAATTTTGAACAGAACAAGTTTTAATTCTATTCGTAATCATAACACGTCAACTGCTCTTGTATCGAAAACCGATCGACTCAGCGAGCTCTTTTTCATCCGTTGACGATGACTTCGTTACTGTATTTACCGAGACTGACACAGACGTTGTTTCACGAAATAATCGAAGAGGAAAGTGATTCTTTATGGAAACAGTAGGTGAGGGCATTTCTGGATCAAGTGCAGCGAGTGGTAGACCGGGCATGGCCGGTCTTAGTGTAACCCATGGTGGAGGAAGTTCTGTTGGAGATGGAACTGGTTCCTCGAATTCGGCAAGTAGCGGTTCCACTTCAGGAGGGGCCTCTTTAACATCAATCCAAGGTGGTAAAAGCGGTTCGAGCTCAAGGAGTAGTTCGTCGAGTACTGGAAGTAGTAACTCTACCATAGTTGGAGGTTCTTTGTCGTCGATCAAAGGTGAAAGTAGCGGTTCCGGTTCAAATGGTAGCTCCTTGAGCTCTGGGGGAAGCAATTCTACTTCCGGAGGAAGCTCCTCAATGTCAACCAAAGATGGAAATAGTGGTTCAAGTTCAGGTGGCAACTCCTCGAGCTCTGGAGGAAGCAATTCTTCTATATCCGGTGGAAGCTCCTCAAAATCAATCAAAGATGGAAGTAGTGGTTCTAGTTCAGGTGGTAGCTCTTCGAGCTCTGATGGAAGCAGTGCTCTTTCCGGTGGAAGCTCCTCAATATCAATTAAAGGCAGAGGTAACATTTCTACTTCGGGTGGAAATTCCTCCAGAGTAATGATAGCTAAAGGTGGAAGTTCAAGCTCGAGAAGCCAAGTTATCTCTACTGAAAAGAAGCCTATAAAGATCGGAAAACTCGTTCTTACACCGGAACAAGGAGACCCGATTGACATCACAGATGTGTGGGGTACAGAAGATGATCTTGCTAAGAATGACGACATTTCCAGCAGTATTGTAGGTAAGCTATAATAAAATTAATTGTTTGTAAGGATAACGAAGCGGTCAGCTAGTCAAGAAAAGTATGAGTGCTGGTGTGGTGACCAATTCAGCTGGTTACTTTTAAAGAATGAAGTTTTGTTTAGAATCCTTCACTTGTGACAATGAATTTAACACTTCATTATTGCAGGACAGCCTAGTTTACTGGCATTCGCTGTTTTCCTCTGATGCCAGATAAGGTAGCTTAACAGTTTGAGTGGAAACGTTTCATTCATATAAGCGCTGTGGGCAATTGTCTATTTCAACAGATTTTGGGGCATGCAGGGACAAAGTTGACTTAGCTTTTCTCGTCGATGCCTCTGGAAACAAAAACGAGAAGGGACAACGAAACTTCGAAACAGCGTTGGCCATCGCCAAAGCCATTTCCAGCATGTTTGTCATCAATCCTCTGCAGACTCACATTGGTTTTGTTGTATTCTCTACAAACTCTCAAGTTGCTCTGAGTTTCAAAACATATCTCGATATAAAAAGCGTGGAAAACGCCATAGATAGCCTAAAGTATACAGGTGCGAGTACCAACATTGGCGCTGGACTCAAACTTGCGAAGAGCCAACTGTTTGATACCACCTCAAGACCAAACGTGCCGCATATTTTGATCGTATTAACATCAGGGAAATCAACTGAAGATGTACTTGCGCCTTCAAAGGCGCTCAAAGACTCTGGAGTTAATGTTTTGTGTATTGGAATTGGAAACAGGTACGATAAGAAAGACCTTGATGACATATCCAAAAGCCCGGATGCTGGTCACGTGCTTACCGGTGATGTCACAAAGCTTGGCAAGACGATTAGGGAAATTAGGAGGATAATATGCCAAGGTAAACAACTATGCTAATTCAATCTCAATTGTAAAATTAAAAAAAAATGATCGACGCTCTCAGAAAGTATGTTACGACAGATGAAACCCGTGCACGTAAAAGGTCTGAAGTGCACTGATTGTCGAGGATGAGAGCTGAAAAAAAATTGGGCTTGTACGGGAATTGAACTCATGACCTGTACGATACCGGTGTAGTGCTCTATCAGCTTGGCTAACAAGCCAACAGGGGGAGCTGGTCATTTTGTTAGTTCGTCATTGTTGAAGGGAATATAGCGAGGGCGATGAGGGCAGAGGCATGACCCATTGGGATTTTCAACATAATTAATTAACTTTTTGAGTATTGGGGTGTGAGTTAGAGAGATTTTGGCAACAACTTGGAAAGAATCATTTCATGAAAATGTTCCAGCCAGTTTACACTGATATTTCTGTTGATAACCGCACGCCGCATGTGACACAAGGCGATAAACTGTGAACTATTGCCCAGAGGAAAATATTGTTGTTAACAATTGAATTGTGTCACGTTATCTTTTTCGTTCCTGTCAGCTAACGTCGGACCAGTAGCGCTGTTCCCATTGAACGAGAGGTACGGGGCAACAGATGTGATTGGTGGAAACCTTGCTGGTGTAAAAAGTTTCGTCGCAACAGCACCGGGGCCTGAAAAGGAAGAGGATGGTTCTCTGTTATTCCTTGGAACACCAGACAGCTTTATTGAGTTCCCAAACAATGGTAAACTGGATAAAAAGGATTCATTGACAATACTGGCCTGGATATTCCCTGAAAGGGCGGGACCCATCTTTAACTTTAAGAGGGACGGGTGGGGAACAAATCTTTGGTTAGCAAAACCGAGAAAACTGTTTGCTCACTTTGTAGACAGAGAAAATCAAAAATCCATGCAGCCATTGAAAAGCACTAAGATTGCACCAAATCGATGGAATTTTATCGGTGCAACATATGATCAAATAACAGGAAATGCTGGCCTGTGGATTAATGGAAAGTTCGAAGATTTTAAGCACATAGGCCGTATTAGACTGGCTACTAACTATCCAATCAGAATGGGAGCTCGAGTCGGAGATAAAAGAAACTATCGCGGGCGCATTGCCTGTTTACAAATCTATGATAGAGCTCTTACTTCAGAGCAGATAAGTAATGCTAAAAACAATTGTAAACGCTACAAAAGAGGGCTGTAGACGCATTCATTACGTAATAGAGTCATGAGGTCATTGCATTTAACATGTTTGTACCATAACGTACAAATGGATCAAATATAATTAAATATTTGTCTTTACTTACTTAATCACTTGTTACCTACTGTACTTAAATTTAAGGATATTCTTGACTGATAATTATTTCTTGTGATAGTGTCAGTTAATAGTTGTTATGAATAAGTCGCTGATGATTTACAATCGGTAAATGAGGTAAATCAGTCCACAAAGAGACCTTCATTCATGTGTAACACTGAAATATCACCCTTTGTCCTCGGCAGGTGTAAAATGAACCTAGAAAAAATGTTCCAATAGAAGGGCGCAAGTAGTAAAATGAGTCCATTTTCTTGCGCCGGTCCGTTGTGATTGGACACAAATTGTCACTCGTTCAGATACGATCAAATACTTAAGCTGCGCACACATTTACTCACCGTGCTCCACGCCCCGTTTACTACGTTGACTTCTCCGAATAAACAAGTGGTTGAGATCGCTTTCAGTCCCACGCTAACGAAATAGCGTTCAATGAAATAAAGACATAAAGCATTTGTCGTGAAAAAAAGGTGGTGGTTTCTCGCGTTTGAATACACGAAATATGATATTTTATGGTTTGGTATACCATGTAATCCTTTCTGATAAAATTCGCCACGTTTCAGGTGTTGGATTTTATTGCTTGCCCTTCACCTTATGAACCATAACGTTTCGTTGACATCGGTTGGTTTTCGATAGCAATGAATGATGCATTTTGATCTTTGGTTTTTTGCTCGGCGGTTCGCTCTGATGCGGCTTGCGTCATTTTGGCATTTGGCATTTGTTATGGCATTTCACGTTTCCGGAACTGTCATCCCTCTATCCGTGTTGGTGTAGTTAGGGCGAAGACTTCTGTAATTCCTCTCTTACCTTTGCGTATTTTACAGGGAAGATCACGATCATTTCAAAGCCACTGGTGCCCAGAGTTAGGAAAATGTATCGAAATGAACAGTCAAAGATCATCTCATCCGCTAGTGGTCTGAAACGTTGCAAAACCATGAAGGAAAGTGAACGTCTCTCAAGGGTCATTTACAACGAGATCAGAACTCAACACGAGGTGCTGCCTTGAATCTACATCTAGGGTCACTGAGGATTCACACGCCGATTTGCCCCTAAGACCTATTACGTTATACCTGCATTAAGACATTTGTATATGACTTCACAACCCACCAAGCTAACGGTTTGTGTTCTTTAACAGGTAACACAGATTTGATGGTGAAATTGGATTGTAACCAATAAATATGTCTTCCTATTCTCCATCAGTATAAAGATAATCCTTGAGAATGAGATCATAATGTGTTCAGACGTAGTCTTTGTTCATCAACTTTCCTTCTTCACGAGCAAGCTAAACAAGTCACGCCACAGAAACTGGAGAACGATCCAATCCTAGCGGACCATACGTTGCTAGCACCTGCTCAGATCGCTAACCTCATTAATTTCATATAATGATCGACGCACTTCCGGCATAACAGATCGACTTTCCCCAAGCACTGCGAGCAGACGTTCCATTTAAGTTATATAAATTCATTCGGATGCGAGGAATTCCTTGAAGATCTTCACAACTGAAGGCAGAGATATATAACAAACACACTATCTCTTTACATCAGTTACTCTAAAACACAACGGCATCGGAGTTGAAGAAATTGTACATCTTGAATCATCTGACTCATGCCTGTAGTCTGTAACGACGTCTAAAACTATGAAACTTACCAACTTAGTAAACAGTGAAAAAGTGTAATCATACGGATTTTCTTCTTTCTCCTAGGGCTTAACGCAAAGCTAAATATTGGATTCATCATCGAATGTTCTTCAAGCATAGAAGGAAACGGACCAGGAACGTTCGCAAAAGTCTTGAAATTTGTCAAAGATCTTGCTAGAAGTTTTGATGTCTCCAAAAAAGGAACTCATATCGGCATCATTACTTATAGCGATGAAGCAAAGGTTGGATCTCTCGTCAATGTTTTTTATCAATTAAATTTTCAAATTTATTGTCTCGAACTTTTATTTGAATTTTATCTGTATCAAGTCATGTATCCGATAAGATTAAAGGAAGTGAGCAAAAGTCACCGCAAAGAAAAGTCTTCTAAAGCAATGCGAGCCATCGCATAAATGTTGGACATGTTATGTTGAACTTACGCGACACTCCAGATTAAGTCACATTATGGAAATTTTTATGTCACTATATGATCAGTTCCACTTTTCAAAGGCTCTGACGTAAATTTGTGGAACAACTTAACAAGGTTGCCTTAACAGTGAATAAACTTAGCCAAAGCTGAAGTCACTGGTTACTTAAAGTAGTTGACACTGATTCTTAACTTGAATTTTGGCAGGTTGTGGCGGGACTCGACCAGTATTACACCCAAGCAGAAGTGACTGCAGCAATTGATGGAATCCAGTATCTGGGAGGAGGAACAATGACCGGAAAAGCTCTCATGTTAGCGAAAGACTCCCTCTTCGCTGCAAGTGCAAGGTCCGGTGTTCCCAACATTGCCTGTGTCTTAACTGCCAGCAGGTCAACAGATGACGTTGGTTCTTCTGCTCAGATGCTCAAGGGCTCAGGAGCCACTTGTATTAGTATAGGAATGGGTAAATATTACGACCTTGGACAGCTTCGAGTGATAGCCACCGACCCATATTCACAGCACATGTTTAGAGCAGATTTCAATGCCCTGGGGTCCTTAGTGAGTCCCGTCTTGGCCACTTGTCGTAAGGGTAAGCTTTCTACGTATTTTGGTGATCAATCTTCGTTGGTAACCTCAGAACCTCAGAAAGTTTTTTCTTGCTTAATCTGGGGCCCTGACTTTGCATTACAAACACTCCAGTATTTCCCCACCGTATTATTTCTCAATATCTGCCTCAGGTCGGTCGCGAGTGTCAGATGTCCACACTGACTGAAGCCATTCAACTGCGGCTGAAGTTTATCTGTTGTTCATTGAGCTGAACCGAAATTTGCTCGGTATAACGTTTCGAACTAAAAGATCTTTGGTTTCGTCCCTTAATCTCTGATGAAATAATTCAGGAACCATGTGAGATTAAATAGAGTAAAATCAGCAAGAATTTCTTTATCGTCATAGACAGGCGGGAGTATGAACTCTTTGATTGTGGAGATGTATTTCACTCATAGGTGGCGAGTTAGAAGGCTATGTCAAATGGACTCCTAAATTTTTATCCCTACAGCATCCTCAGGCACTGTTACGGGTCCTGCACGACCTCCGGCTCCCAGCTCAGGCACAAGTAAGTACAGCGTCATCAACCAAACCATAAGATCACATGGGAGGATAGTTAAACTTTAACCTACGAATACAACACATTTGTGACATGTACTGGAGACTTAACGCCTAGAGATTACTCATTTGTCAGTGAAATTTGGAGAAGGAAGTAAAGTTAACATGGTAAATCGTTCTGTAGATGTGGTGCGATATCACTCTTTACAATCTCAGGCCACATAGCATCCTAATTTAACTTAATATCACTTCATCATATCGCCACTGTATCATATATCAAAGCCTTTTAACATTATTTTTCATTCCATCCTAAGAGTGCCAAGCCAAAGTAGATATAGCTTTCTTGTTGGACGGCTCTGGAAGTATTGGGAAAGGAAATTTCAAAAAGTGTTTGAGATTCCTCAGAAACTTTGTTCAATCCTTCAACATCGCAGAAGATGGTTCACATGTAGGAGTGGTACTTTTTTCGAGCACAGCCGAGGTGGTGTTCAATTTCGAGAAATATTTTGATTCAAATTCAATAAT